GGGGGGGGGGGAGGAAGTGGGTATTAAATCAAGGAACGTAGAGGACAAGAAAAGTGGCAAGTGAGTGAATATATATTTCTTAGAATAGGGAGGGGAGGATGGGCAAGATAGGGGAAGGCGAACGAGAAGGTAGTGAACCTTTAGTACTGCTGTAGCATATTAAGATATGATGAATATAAACATCTTGAATCTTAGCCCCCAATGCATTCAAGCTTCAAGATAATAAAGAACTTAATTTTAGAACGTAGTCATAAGTAGATGACGCAATTATTAAAATTTTCGTTAACTCTTGATGAGCTGTCATCGTATATTTTTTACCGGAGGGACCATTTTGTCCTATATCTCATTAGGGGTCAAAATGTCCGGGGCCATTTTGTCCTAGGAAGATATTATTCGGGGCCAAAATGTCCGGGGCCCTTTTGTCCGGGGCCATTTTGTCCTGGATTCATTTCTATAGATGTGGAAATGGAAGTGGTGATCGCTACGATCCAGAAAAAGACCAGATGATGCGGGTAGTTGATGACACATGACCATGCTTAAGATTCGGAACATTACATGTGTACCAACTGTTAAATGGCACTTGGAATGCTTCCAAAAGAGACAGAACTAGCAGTGCATGCAAATTCTCTTTTAGCTTGGAGATACCGGTGACTCTAACGATTCCAAGGGTCTCACTTATGTCTGTGTCCCCGTCTTGTCCTTCCAATGAATTCACCCACATTCCCTAGGTTCCCTTCTGTTTCCTTGGCCGATCCAGGCAAAGATCCACCAGGTGGTGCTGATTTTTTAAAAGGTATTACATGTTCATCGGGATAGATCGAGTCGAGGAAGACATCCTTCAATCTCAGTGAGAAGATAGCCCCGCTGATGTCTGCCGCAGCCTTGCCCTTCAAGGTCGAGAGAAGGGCATTTACCCAACAGGACCTCAATCAGGAATTCCTCTATCAACGGAACTTTTCCATCCGTTCGTATCATCCCTATGATATCGTCAATCATCGATCTTAGCAGAAGTCAAACTTAATTGCCACACCAACAACCCATTAGGAATCTCCCTTGCCGATTCGCACTAGTTTTGCACGCCAAAACCAGAACTCTATTTCCAGCAGAATTTTCAATAAGAAAATTTTCATTGAATACTTGTATCCGGAATTTTATTTATTAATTTTTTTTCTCTAAAACATAATTTGCTCATTTTTCTCAGGTCAAGGCCGCTCCCAGGGCTAACGAGATCGCCCCAGGGATGGGTCGATTGCGGTGGCATTCCATAATTAAATTATTAAATTCCATAATTTAATAATTGATTACAATTATTAAATTCCCAAATGGTTGTCTGCCGCGCTCCTTCCAGGACAATTCTTTGAGCTGTGTTCTGCAGAGCACTCAGTGCTTGAAGAGTTTTAGGCTCAACATTCGGCCAATTACCGTAGATAGTCGAAGGATTCTATTGCCGGACCGTGTAGAATTTTGGACTCTACCTGACCTGATCCTTATCGCGATGTCCTTGTCACCTTTGGGAACAGCAAGGATGACTTTCCATTTCTCCTCGAAGGAGAGAGCTTATGATTCCCCATCTTACTCGCTGAGAGGATTAAGACTAGCTGACTGGTCTCCCTTTCTACCCACGGCCACCCTCAAAGGGGGTGGAACAAGCTAAATTTAGGTAGGAGATGAACTTTTTCCAGGAATGCGCGAGAGAAAGTAGCTATGAAGTGTGCTGCAGATTAAAACTGACTAATACAGAACAGTTTTGTGTCTTCGGACGAAAAAAATGAGTGCGTAAAACGGAACAATTCGTTATGCAGAACTTCGTTATAGCGAAACTTTTTAACATGCATGCGAATGGGCAAGCGGCCAGGAACTGGAAAAAAAAAAACTTATAGTAAATATAATTCGTTTTACAGAGGTTCGTTATATGGAGCGTCGACTGTATTTTATTTAGCGTATCCACGATTCGAGCACAGAACAGAAATAACCTTAATATTGTCCGCTCTAGCTTTGTCGCATGATGAAGATATTGGAAGCAGGTTTTTTTTTGTCCTTGGCTAATTAAGATAAAACACCCGACCTCAGTGGAACATATGGTTTCCGTAGTCTTCCATGTAGAGCAATGGAAAATGTAAAAAGCCCTAGTTTAACTAAATCGGTCTGCAATTGGACTACTAATTTCGAAGTTGCTATGGGCCATTAATAATGGCCCGTGGCTAGTGACCAATAAATGTTTATTATTACAATAAATAAATAAATAAATAGATACAATTTTTTTTTTAAGAAAGGAAAAGAAGACAACTTTAGTGGCCCCCACTCTTTGGAACGACCCTGTTCCACACACACATTGTATTTTAGCATTTTATATCATTTATTTATTTATTTACTTTGCGTTGAATACGCCGAGAATTTCACCTTTGTGCTTCCGTTTGCACGATGCCGCAGCGGTGGGTCGGAAGGCGAGATCGTTTCTCTGCTCCAGGTTCCAATGTTCCTGGGTAAAGACGAAGGCAGCGTTCTTTTCCCTTTTCCCCATCTTCTACTGGCTCCCACGGTACAACGTTCGACAGGATCTCGTCGCAGACCTCGTGGCAGGATGCACCGTCGGCGTCTTTCACATCCCACAAGGTTTTTCTATTTTCATTCTATCGTTACTCCTTGCCCTTTCATCCACCAACTCGAGTCAAATGACTCAAGTCAAACCATTATTGAGGCAGAGGCGGATAGAGAAATTTTTCATAGGGGGGGCGGTTCCCAAGTTCCTACCTAGCCCCCTCCGCCTACCACCTTCCCCGCCATCAGGGTTACCACCGCAAAACTTCCTGCAATCATAGCATGAGATTGTCAGAATTTGGGAAAGTTTTGCATTGTTGGATCGCTTAGAACGGTCGCCCCCCCGCCCCCCATCCCATTTCCCATCTATCGAGACGGCGCCCAGACGCCATCTTGACACAACTTTTCCTCTCGAACGCCATTGGCTGCCAGGTTCAGTGACGTCACGAGGAGTAGACGCAGTCTTCTCTCTTGCCCTGTTAGTATCGCGATCGCCTTCCGATTTATTAGGGGAAGGATAAATTCCCGTGTACTATTATTCGCTCGGTAAAAAAAATTCACCGGCAGAGAACAAATACAGCAGTCCATTTTGTCCTTTCGCGTATATTCGCCTCGAAGATCAGTCCGAAAAAAAATTTGTCATCAGATGCAGCCTTTTTACCTTCTTCAAAATGAGTCCAACTCACTTCAGTCCAACGCCTGATATGTCAAGATCGCCAGTGAAAATGGTGAAAAGTATGGTTTTGTGATGGTGGTATAATATTCCTGGACTCGTATCCTAATACAATCTTAGACTTTTTGATAGCAAATAGCTCAAATTTGGCGACGCATTTAAATGGGAAAAACACCAGCTTTGGTGGGGGGGGGGGGGGGGGGGGGGGGGGGGGGAAANGGGGGGGGGGGGGGGGGGGGGGGGGGGGGGGGGGGGGGGGGTTGCTAAGAGCAAAATCGCACTTATTGGTGTGCAGACAACCGTTAGTCATTTTATGACTTTTTAAAGCCCAGAATATGACAACGTTTGGACGTCTCCACTGAGTTGACGCCCGCGAATATTACTCACGATAAATCATGCATTACACCACTTTGTATTATGTTGCTTGATGGGTAGGTTTGGCATACGCCATGCTGGCAAATGTCCCGCCGATTTATGGCATCTACATGGCCTTCTTCCCCGTCCCCATCTACGTCATCATGGGCACTTCTCGACATGTATCCATGGGTAAGTCATCTAAGCATTCCCTTCAATATATTACATGTTTAAACGAATGTTCCATATTCATGGATTCTACTCGGCCTAATGCCAATGAGTGTTTTCTATGAACCTGGTGCATCGTTTTCTGCAACATATCTGAACTTTTGCGAAATGTAAACCTTCGTGCAAATTTTTCTAAGCGATCCAACAATGCAAAACTTTCCCAAATTCTGACAATCTCATGCTATGATTGCAGGAAGTTTTGCGGTGGTAACCCTGATGGCGGGGAAGGTTGTGAGTATGTATCAGGATAGAGTGGGCGAGGCGGAGGCGGGTTTTGCGAATCTGAATGCCACGTCGTCGTCGCCTTTCAGCTTGAGGGCTCAAAATGCCATCCAGGTTGCAGGCGTCGTCTCCTTCGCCGTTGGGATCTTGCAGGCACGTCGACTAAAATCCACTTCATAAGTAAAAATGCTGTCGATAGGGAGGGAAAGGTATCCGCTTTTAATGGGGTTGACTGGATATCATGCCGTGACATCGTATCCTTAGAAACCAGATCAAAATATCGCGATGCCTCATGTGACACAGGGTGACATGCACCGAATCCGTTTAAGCTAAACTAATCTGATCTCACAATGGTCCCCTATGGGAATCAGTTTAACTGAGATAAACTTATTCCCATAGACGCCCATTATGAAAACGAATCGGTTTAAAGTTAAACGAATCTGGTGCATGTCACCCACACGTTCTAATCGATGTTATTTTCTCGTTATTGAACTTCCTTTCACATGGTCTTTAAAGAAAAATACGAATCTTGATACGCATGGTGCTCCAACCAAAATGTTACTAATTCTAAATTCACAGAAAACTGTATTAATCAAACTAAAGACAGGATTTCCCATGAAGCATGAAGGTCATGCATAGCAGGTATGCTAAAAGTGTTTTTCACTCACACCTTAGGCCAAAAACCGCCAGTATAGGCGTCTATCCCTGTCAGCAATTATGATGCTTTCCATCAGGGGACAAACTGAAAATATGACCAAGTGACCACATTTTCATGTTATTCCCTGATGGCAGAGGCTGGGTCCATTCTGCCCTCGGGTGTGCCTGTCTTATATGTCACAGAGCTGCAAGGATATAGGTGTATTTTCGAAAAAGGATTTGGAAATTGAAAATCTGTAATCTATCTCAACGAATTCCAGCCAGATTGGTGAAAATACGGGAGCCACGTCATCTCGATTTTGAGCATATCGAAACCAGTGATTCCTTTCACTTAACAGGAGTATAAATTTTTTTTTTCGCTCTCATAACTCCTTGCTACATTTGTGAACCTATTTTGTATGTGGTACTTGAATGGAATCTAGATTTCCAGGCTCATGAGGGGAGGTTTATGACACTAGGGCTATTTTACGTGTGCATGAACGGGTCTTATCGGATTGACCTGCATCCATCAACTGATGGGTATGGGCTCGAGAGCAACGGTTCACTAACTTTACCACACCGGTCTCAGGGTGATGGAAGTACCATAGTATATTCCTGTTTAATGGCTTATTTTTTCTATGGGGAAACTTATCGAGGTTGGAAATTGGTACAGATCCTTATGGGGGTGCTGCGGTTGGGAAGCCTGACGGTGTTTCTATCGGATACCCTGGTTAGTGCTTTCACGACAGGTGCTGCCGTCCACGTCGCCACGTCCCAGATCAGGCACGTCTTTGGTCTTCTACTCCCAAGGCACGACGGACCCCTCAAAATCGTTTTGGTATTATCTCCCTCTCCCTCTCTCTCCTTTCAGTCAGCCATAGCACCTTCGTTAAGAATCACTCTATATTGAGAGACACGGTAGCGCCTTATAATTTAGTGGGCATCCAATAAAAAAAAAACAATAACTTTACCAAGTAACCAATGAACGCTCTCAAAAAAGAAACTTATTTGCTCGGTAACAATGCTAAAGACTAAACATGAGGCCAATTTTTATCACCCAACTACTCAGTTTCCTGGGGTTTCGAAACATACATCTCTTAAGTGCGCAAGTGACAAGGATTTTTTTTGCAAAGAAATTTAGATCATGCCACTTGCACGGAATATATATTTAAAATAAATACAAAAAACCATTTTTCCTGGAATTTCGACTTCTTTGATCACGGAGGAAGAAAGGCCCAGAGATTGCGATATTCTCGAGTTAGAGTTTGTCCAACTGGGTCGTGTGAAATGACCCATTCCAGGCCTCAATAGATGCTTTCGTTATGGTATGAAACAGAATCATAAAAGTTCATAGAGAAAACCGAGAGAGAAATGGCTGGTACTCATGATGCATACCATCATATCACGTCAAAACTCGACTCATCTTGGTGAAAACTCTCGGTCATAACGGCATCACGGAATCCAAGCAAAGGCGCTTGAAGACGATCCCTTTCAGTTTCTGCTTTTTTACCTTTGCTTCTTGTACATTCAACACATTGCAACATACGTTATCAGAGGCGATGAGAATTGACGATGAGATTTCCTATCTCTTGTATTTGACAGACGTATAGAGATTTCTTCCCCATGATCATGAAATCGAACATGGCAGCCGTGGTCATGTCCTTCATCACCATGTTCGTCTTGGTCTGCAACAACGATTACTTGAAGGTTACTCCATTTTCCATACGCAGCTCGTTTTTTTTTTATTATTAGTAAATAACCCCTGAATTCTTTGGGAACGAGTTCATCGAATGCTCTTCTACAGCCGTGCCTGGCCAAGAGTTGCCGATTCCCGGTGCCGATCGAATTGATCTGCGTGGTTATCGGGACCGTGGCATCCTACGGGGCGGAAATGGACCGCACTTACAACCTCAGCACTGTCGGCTACCTCCCAACCGGGTGAGTCAATTGTCATCGACGAAGGGTGATCCCTTCTACCTATCCGTCACTCCCATCGGTCTCTCATCCATGAATGCAGGCTGCCTGGTCCAAGGTTGCCACCCCTCTGGTTGATGGGTGAGGTGGATTTCATGATCCAGTGCCTCGTGATTGCCATCGTCAGCTATTCTACATCCATTTCCTTGGCCAAGCTATTTGCTCGCAAGGCCGGCTATCAGATCTTTCCCAATCAGGAGCTTCTGGCAACGGTCAGTCATTGCAGCTCATATCCTACGCTTCTTTCATCAAAAACAATTAGCCGCGCACTGGAGCGCAATGTGATATGTTCACGATTAAATGTTAGGAAAACTAAAGTGAAACTTTCGATACCGGAACCCTAGAACTCTCTTTTCATTACCTCCCTGTAATGCACTACATCATCCTTTTTTTTCTCCTCTGAATACCTTACTGTGCCAACTCATTACTCACTCCGTAAGTTTTACTGTTGACACCAATTGCTCTCCCACGTAAATAATTTTACCCACTGAAGTCTAACTTCAGTGGGTAAATTATTTACGTGAGTTCAATGGTGCACCGTTTTTATTCCCGAGCGTACGTAATTGGAATCTAACATGGCTGATTCCCGTATTGGTCCTATATTCCTATATGCATGGAAGTATCTGTTTCTTCTTTTAATTTGTACTTTTTTCAGTTAGCTTCCATTATCGATTGGATAGGGAATTCATTGTGAACTTGCAGGGAACGGGGAACACATTCGGAGCGATGTTCGGATGTCCGCCGTTTGCGGCGTCGCTGGCGAGAAGTCTGATTCAAGAAGGAGTAGGGGGAAAGACTCAGGTAGCGAGCATCGTTTCCTGTGCTCTCCTCCTCGTCATCCTCTTCTTTCTCGCTCCTCTCTTCAACACCTTACCCAAGGTAGGGGGAAAGACTGAGTCTCAACTGTGCTTTGGTTCCGCGGTTGCTCATGCAGTTCTCAGATTCAAAATTGATCTTGAATTTACTTGACTCTTTGCAACATTAAAAATATTTTTGATTAATTTTCGTTTAACCTAGAACAAGATATCTTCTTTACAGTAATTAAAGTGTTGTATCAAATATAACATAGTTATTACACTGTATTCACAGTAGCCTCTTTTAAATACAGTATTCCCTAGGACGTCTGAGCTTCGGACCAACGAAGTTAACATTTATATAACTTTTTTTATGGACACAGTTCCTTATGCCACAATTTTATGTCTCTCTCCCTCCCCCCCCCCCCCCCCCCCCCCCCCACCCCCCAAAAAAAAAAAAAACCAGGCGGTATTGGCAGGGATCATTCTAGTGGCGTTGAGGGGGATGTTCCATCAGATAGCAGACCTGAAAAAGGCGTGGCGGGTAAGCAAGTTGGACGCGTTTGTCTGGGTCATGACATTCTTGTCCGTGACCTTGATCGACATCGACTACGGCCTTGCCATTGGGGTCGCCTCTTCTCTCTTCACCTTGATCTGGAGAAACCAACGAGCTTACGCCTGCGTCCTGGGACATATACCGAACTCAGGAATCTACGTCGACATTCGCCGATTCTATTTAGTAAGCTTTATTTATTTTCCCCCGCTCTTTTCAACATTGGTTTGATTTACTCGGTCTAAGTATACTTTTCGATCATGATCGAAATATCATAATAACTCGATCATCATAACTTCGATGATAACTGACGTCACGCTGCCATAGGCCCCCCTGTCGTCTGTCGTCAAAGATGGCTCCTTACTAAACTTCAATTATCCCATGTGTCTTTCACGTGGAATTTACTCCATTGTATATTTCTAATTTTACCACTTCGACTGTTTGGAGACATAATGCAGCAGTTACCAACAGAGACCTCGTGTCTTTCTTGTGAAAAAGGATTGGAAGATGGAGGAGAGTTGTGATGGTCCTAGGCCTTGTGTAAGGCGTTTTTACTCGATTGATGAAACGACAGCTGTTATTAGAATATGGGGTGACAAGCGTACCCAAGCATTGTTCGAATCGAAACTGGTAAAGTGAGGAACAAAGCCATCTGGATATCCGATTTTTGGTTGTGATGGCCAGGAGAAGGGCTAGAGATGACTGGATTCGTCGGTGGTGAAGTTAGATGTCGCTCTCAATTACGATTTCGGTATAAGTATGACATTTCGATCAGTTATGTGGTTTTCGATCATAATCGAGTTATGATATTTCGCTCATGATCGAAAAGTATACTTAGACCGGGTAAATCGAAGCAATCGATGTCGTTGGAAAAAAAAAGGGAGACGCAGTCGACAATTCTAGTGAAAAGGAACAATGGATCACATGAGATCCTGTAGACTTTTGATGTTATTAGACATGCTAATCACGAAAGGAGTGAAGGTTCTCTCGAGTTTTGTAATGCTACACTTCGCGCTTGAGAAATGTGAAGCTCTCCTCCTAATTATCTCGAACCTCTTTCATTCGCTGGAAATGAAGAAATGGTTTAATTCGCATGCGTAGCTTGTCACAACCCAGATAGATTCATTCTGAGAACAGAAGACATGAATCCGCAGTATTTCGAATGGTAGAGCACACGTAGAGCACACGTGCAACTGGGGGTCGAACTTGAGCGATAAAGATATCCAAGGACACGTCGACACCCGCAAGTGCTTTCTCGCTGCCTACGAAGCATGACTTAAAACATCTGATTCTTTTCATATTTACGTTTGGCTGAGACGATGCGAACCGATATCATCTTAACCTTTAGGCTGCTGCGAGTGCACGATTGCGACGAATATCCAGCTGTTCGCAGTTGCATTCATACGCTTCGCATTTTCGATAATTAACCGCGATCTAATTTATAAGAGTTATTATTGGGTACTAAAAGGAGCCTTGGCTTCCCGATGAGCGAATAACCGAGGGTGAAAGTGATTATTTTTTCCACATATCCTAATCCCTTGTTTGCTGCCCAAATCACTTCATTATTATGTATAATGATTGTATGAATCACCATTATGCATGAAACCAAATGGGAAGAGATCTAGTATTGGGGTGAATGCAAGGAATCAAGAATACTCTCATACCACATTTATCAGCTTCACATTTATAGGCTTATCGTCCGATTGGGCTCATGAAAATTGCGTGAAAGGACATATGATGTATGCATCCTTTGGAAAGAAAGACTTCAAACCCCTCTACATTACCTAGCATTTCTCTCTCTTTCCCTTTGAGCCTATAAGCTGACTGTGACCTACTCCTCTCCTCGTTCGAGGCAGGCCAGCTTCAGTTCGAGCCAGGCTAATGGCCGGAGTTGAAAGTCATGTATATCAGCCGTAATTTGTATCAACTTCCATTGCATATATTTTTTCCTATGTTGTAAGACTGCTCTTCGATGATATATCGTTTGTAAGAATGAAAGTGAGGTATAATCTGAATGCAGTCTGGGAGTCTGGGAATGCAGTCAATTCATTTGACAGAGAGGAGTCCAACGTTCCAAGCATATTAATTCACCAGATACGGACCTCTCGTGCTTTTGAATCGCATTCGCACTTATTCATTCTGTGGGAAAATATCATGGGAATTTGGCTGAAGGTTGACAGGAAACGGAGGACATCTAATTATTATGCAATTCATACGTGCCACTGAAATACTTTAAAAGAGGTGAGAATGGGGATATAAAGTGATATCATATTCACATACGCCTATCGAGTTTGGTTCAAGGAGACTCAGGAATTCATTGAATAGAGGCTGTATAGGAATCACATATTTCATTTCCTTCCATAAGAAATGCCTATTTCTTGCGATTCTTAACCCCCTGGGTCAGAGTGGTTTCGTAGTGTAACCACCATTCAGAGCACATGTAGCGTGTTCTGGAAAGGTTGTTTCAATGAAACCACAATGGTACTCATTTCTAGTGGTAGCAACAGGAACAGTTTGAGTTTAATGAGTGTTGCCCTTTCCTATTGGATTTTTACATGAATCCTTAGAATTTTTCTTTCGAGATTCCCCATAGAACTATTCTGTAATGTATTGTGAAGTGTAGTTCAGCTTAGAAAACTTAATTCAATTATTCATGCTGGATTTCGTTTCTCATATAGTGACTATTGGTTTGACTATTTGCTCCACTAGTATATTAAGTATATTGAGTACAGTGTTCCGAAAGTTTCTGACCCACCTTCACAAAATATGGCTGAATGCTGTCAGCCACGGAAAACATCCTGCTTATATACACGGGCTACATGAAGATCCTTGTGATCTGCTCAGACCAAGAAAAGGCTGTGCTGACGGAGACTGGAGCCCCATGCCACACGGCTGGCTTCGCGTTCTGCGCCATCGAAGGGTACAGGTCTAGAAGATGTAACCAAGGAACTATCCGGACCTCGACACCTATGGCACAGGTTCGAGCAGAGCGCTCTGCGTTCAGCCTCACCCATAAATTTGGCGTCAGTCTTTACCAGGGGTTCTCAGTGGAGTGAGAAACCAACGCGACGAGTGTCCGTCGGTTGGTTGAGAACTCCAGGACGCTGATCCGAGGTTCCTACAGGTCCGCGGAAGTCATATAAGGTATTGATGTAGAAGTTGGTACCTAGGATATTCTTGGCCATGTGGAATGCAATTAAATTACTTTTTTTTACCGTTAATATCGTCTCCGTCTTTATTTTTGTGGGTCAGAACATTCGGAGCACCCTGTACTTAAAAATATAATTATACTCTTGAACCGCCCTGAAGTCTGGGTTGATGCTAGAATTTCAATTAGAAAGTCATGGCTGTTGAGGTGATGCTCGCACAGTTTAATTTTTTTTTTAAATAATGAAAATAGAAATTGGCTATCAGGCTATGAGAAATATGTTCACCAAAGTCACTGGAATTGCCTCCCGTAACCTCGTAAGCGCTTTTTTTTTAATACTGCGAACAAGACCAATAATTCCATCCGCTTGATTTTGTTGAAAAGAGTGGAAGGCAGAACGAAGCTAACGAGTAATTGCCTTTTTTTGCATGAATGGTCAGTGTGAACATTTATTTGTGAGTGTATCCTCAAGACAGAGATTTTTCAATTTAAATTCTACCGTCCAGAAGATTTCGAGGCATTTTAGAAAGCTATATAATAATATCTACTGTGGTCCGTGGTGGTGGTGGATGTCGGTGGCACGCGCGCGCGCACACACGGTACACGCGTGCGCACAGTGCGATCGCGTGTGCTCTCCCATAGCCATAGTAAGAAGTTCACGCAGCGTGCCCAAAGGCCACTAGCGTTCGGAAACAGACGGCGGGTTGCGATGTCCGCTGAGCAGCGTGAGGCCACCGATAAAAGCCCACTACCACGTTGTCCTTCAAAGCGAGCGACAAAGTTAATGGGTGGATTGCATAAAATAATGCCAGCATTACCCTAAAGGAGGTTTAATGTGAGGCATTGCATTAAAAAATGTAAAGTTACATGAGTTGACTCACATTAGCGCTTCCCAATGTGCATTAGCGACTCCGATAATGCATATCAGCAAGAATGTCATTCGCTTTGGCAACGTTCAAATCGATTTTTTTTCTTCTATTAATTGGGCTCTCATGACTATGAACTCAGCCATGGCAAACTCGTCGAGTGCTTCTACTGAGTTCGGGCGACCATCTACTGAATTTATTGCTCATTCACTCTGCTCTTTACAGCAACGGAAACATTCAGAAAATAAAAAATAAAAAACACCGTCCGTGGACATCCGGGAAGCAGTAAGAAAGTGTCTCGAGCCAGCGGTATGTTCCTCATTGGTGCTAATGGAGGTTTAAAGTAGGGTCATCGTAGCATTAAATTAATACGGAATTTAATGCTGCGATAAGCTAATTTTTTTTTTAAGCAATCCATATCTCCGTTAAAGTAGCTTTAAATCCACCCCTAATGGAGGTTTAAAGTTGACATTAGGCTTAAGTCAGTTTTATGCAATCCACCCTTCATCTTTTGGATTGCCTTTGCTCGGCGTCAGTTCCCCCCGTCCTTTGCGATGACGATTAACGAAGCGCAAGGCAGACCTTCGAGGAATTACGGGTGTGTTTGGTGCACCCTGTCTTCACACATGGCCACCCAGTGACGGATTCAGGGGGCGGGGGTGGGGGGGGGGGGTGGCCATGTTCTCATTCATTGCCTTTATATTCTTCGGTAATTTCGCACGAGCTACTAACCAGTATATATTTAAGTACACACGATAGCAAGCACCTTTAACGTTCATATATACATCTGTGGTATTGATTGTCAGGCAAAGGAGGAGGAAGACATAAAAATCCTACATTACGGGGCAGGGATCCACTTCGGAAATCGGGAGGCATTCAAGCTGCAGGTCTACAAGCTGACACAACTGGAACCCGAGAAATGGGAGAAGGAAATAGTGAAGCAAGAAAAGAATCTGGCGGCTCGTCGTCGAAAGCAGAAGCCCAAGGCAAGAATTACGTTTGGCTATTCGCAGTTTCTCCCGTCCCGATCTCATTCCATGTTGCTTTACTAATGGATTGTTTCACACGAAATGATTCATTGCTCATATTGAGTCATAGAACCATCTTTTTCAAGTTTTATGGGGCAACTTCACGTAGTTTTGAACCAAAATTCATGTCTTGTCACAGAGCTTGTTACCTACCAACAAGTTAAGTTGCGTCGTCCAACTCATGGCTATCGAGACTTTTCTCGTCCATTCGTCCAGCCTTACATTCATCCAAATTGACGAATCCAGCTGCAGTCATAAACATTTTGAATGCACGGGGAGGAATTACAAAAAAATTTTCAAATGATTAAATAAGGGGGATTCTAATCATCCTACTAAATGAATCACATAGATATTAGAAGTATATGCATACTTTCATTGTCAGTAACAACTACCTAATCAAGATTAATCTTAACCAACTAATCCGTAAATTTTCCTGGTCCAGGAGAAGAAGAAGAAGCAGAAAGGGAAGATGGTGACGGAGGGAGACAGCTGCTCTGAGTCGAAAGCAGCACCTGAGGAAGTAGTAATACGTCGACTTCCTTTTCGGCATCTTATCCTGGATTTGACGGGAGTAAGTTTCATCGATGCATCAGGCATCTCCACCCTCGTCCACCTCATCACCGAGTATCAAAACATCGGCGTCCAGACATACTTCACTGGAGTAAAGGGTATGTCATATCTCGTCCAGCAAAACAAATAAGTAGCCAATTCGAATACCATCCTTGAGATGAATAGGCCTATTGCAAAATGTAATTATTCTGTCATGAATGGATGCCCCATTCATGCAAATGCACAAAAATAAGCAACAAATGAATGTAAAAGTAATACAGACATCAGATTAAGTATGACAATGTTCGCAATGGTGTTTATTCATAACGATACTGAAATTCCGTTTTCTTTCATGTTGATTCCTCACTATATCTCGATATCGAAAGCAATGACTGTTAGTCAAGCCCATTTCTGCTTCTTTATTCCTTCTTGCTTATTGGAGAACCTTCTTTCTTTTTGCAGAACCACAGTTGAAGATGTTCCGAAGGATGGAATTCTTTGGCATCGTGCCCCTAGCTCATTTTTTCCCAACTGTGTCAGATGCAGTTCTCCATTGTACCAAAGCCACTGCCGATTTTCATGTTTGAAATTTTCCTAGGTAGCATTCCACAAATCGGGCGTAAGAGCAAAACAGTGAAATCTTTTCCATTGGTTTTCTGCTGAGCATTCGCTGAATGTATCCTTCAAAAGAAAGCAAAAATTGAATGCCTTTCGTTGTGTATGATGTCCGAGACTTTAAGAAGTGATTCTGTTGGGAGATTTTAAAGTCTCAGACATCAAACAAGAAGTACACAAAAGTTGACAAGTCATCATCTATGGTAAAGCCTCATGTAGCTTCTCTTATCAATATTCGATTGAGAAAATAAGCAACAGAAATGTTATAGATGCAAGGGCAAAATACGTCAAGTTGTTACATTGCATCCAGGATGGCTTCTCACAAGGGATTCCCATCCCAATCCAACCCTCTTCCCCCAACCCTGGAGGGGACGGCGTGGGTGGGTGGGTGAATTATTTTGTATATGCAACAAAAGCAATATATCCTAATTGCAGCTTGCTGTGAGGTGAAGATGTGTGTGGATGTGTGAGGAGTGATCATTTCCATACTATTAAATTTCTCCTGGAACATATAGTAATCTTGTCCACTTCAAAAGAAATGTATGACAATGTTTCAAGTCTTTTAAAACTTGTAGTATGAAAATGCATATGTTATGACAAGACCAGGAAAAGCCAACTGTGCCGGAAATGGGGAACACTTCCATCTTCCAAGATGTTGGCTGCCATAATTTAGTATCATGCTGGCATCGTTGCTTGATTCCACGGTAAGCGAACCCAAGAAAGATTTCAGAAAGACAATTACCATGAGAAACTGGCGCTCAGTTTTATAAGGGGTTAACACTTTCAGCCCTGACAGTTTGAATGCGCCAGGGGCGTAGGACGTCATATGACGGCTGTAGGGCTCAAAGTATTAAAGCTATTTTACTTCTGCTGAATAGAACAATAGTGAAGCAAGTTAACGATCCGCCACTCACTTTGTTCTGCATTGGTTTGTTAATAATAATTATCATAGCATAAATAATAGTTTCCTTGATCTAAACGTCTACCGTGAGGAGGCATAAATGAGGATTACAAAATCCGACCAACAGGATAATCCGCTTCATGGTCAGCAACCCAAGGTCTTTGACAAGCTATCAATCTACATACGAGGCTTGTATGAAAAGTCATGCGTGTTCCGCAATAAAAATTTGCATATTGCGCGCACGCGAAAAATTCCTACAAATTCTGAAAGCCCCATCAAAGAGGAACGCAACGATGTATAACATAGGCTGGTTGCTAATATGCAAATGTAACAGTCGTGGGAGAAACAGAGGCAGGTAGCGGCAGTTTCCCGATGAGTACTTTTAAAAGGAAAAGAATGCTTCATAAGTTNTTTGACGGGGCTTTCAGAATTTGTAGGAATTTTTCGCGTGCGCGCAATATGCAAATTTTTATTGCGGAACACGCATGACTTTTCATACAAGCCTCGTATACCTCAGTTACATTTACTGGAAAAGGGAATGCCGAAAACCAAAAAAGTACCGTCCTTCTCATTCGAGACCAGCATATTAGAACTCGTAGCTCGAGAAGCACATCCTGAAACCGGTAGTTGAAGGCAGCCGAGGCAATCAAGGCCAGTCTGAAATAATTTACCACCTCTTTAAATGCCAGTCCCAAACTACCTCAAATGCAGCTTATGTACAGGCACAATCAACCAGGTGTGCCAGTGTATGTTGAAAAAAATTGTTCAGAATGGCTCTACAAACACCAACCACGAATTTCAAAGAAAGTACTCTGAGACAAACCTATCATAACAGACTCCACAATCCAGACCACACGTCGCACAGTTGGAGGTGCCTCACGGTGGAGAAGAACGCTGCCCTGCTTATCAAAGTTAGCTAGGCTCTGAAGCAAGGAAGTAGAGTTATTGTGTGGAACAAATACCACCTCATTTCCCATCACCCTCGGCACGACCGACGGTGTCCTCAAGATCACAAGAAACATGTCCGTACGAACAGACTGTCATATCCATAGATATCCTTCAGTGTACGGCTATCTTGGACACGTCTAGCATTCACCGCCGTATCCTCCAGATCTATGAAAATACAAAGACCAGGATATGGTTCCTACTCACCTTTTCGGCATTCGTGAAACCCAAAAATAATGTTACAGAATGAATGAAGAGCAGGACCAAACTTAAAGCGACACTCAGAGGAAAGAGATAAAGAAAGAGAACTATGTACGAGGCATTGTGAGGTCAGAAACTCACGCACATCACTTGGGACATTTAGACGTTAAGGACAAAGAAACGAATGTGAAATCCAGCGTTATTATAGGGAATGCCCGTCTATTGGGACTACACCCCACAGGTAAGACCTTGCAGATGCTCCTTGAGAAATATCCAGCTAATTCACCTGTTGGAGATTGGGAGAAACTAAGAAATTCTATAAGTTGGTGTTCGAAAATTGGCTCTTTTTAAATGAACAACTTTCCCGCCTCTTTAAATGGTTTCATTTATTCTCTCCCGTTTCATGAGAGTGAGCATAAAACCAATGGATATCTCTTGAGTATTGCAGTGCAGCAATCTGATGCAATAGATACCTTACATTGTTCTTTACGAGGTGCATTCAAAATTTTCCGATCATGAATTTTCCGAAACTAGGATTGTCATAACGTTTATATTTGACTCGTATTTCGGAATAGTAACCACCCGAATCGCATTTTTCGACCCACTTTCAGAAAACTGCAAAACAATATTTTCCTCTGGGGTTACGTTCACAATACTGGGAAATCGCTGAGCAACCTCAGGGAAATATTTTCCCGTCCAAGCTTGGGAACTGATGGAGTCCTGGGAGCTATTGACATAAACTCGTGTACTATTCACAAACATCTACCAGATCATTTACTGTTTTCTCCCTGTGTAAAGACGAAGAGCATATCGCAGCCCTTGATTTTTCTTTCCTGAACTAAGCCAATTTCATCTGGTATTTAAAAAAAAAAGCATTAACCCTGTTAACAGCATTAACCGTTCTAGGTCCAATGGACCAGATGCAAAAATTTAGCTAATTTAGCCATTCGTGTAGACAGCGCTGTGCATTTCCGAAAGTCCGATACTCCGTGTATTTTATCAGGACATGTGATAGTAATTAATGAAACAAAAGGATAAACAGATGACCATCAAGCACAACAAGGCGTAATTAGTATTAATCTTTCTACCAAGGTTGACGAATGAATAAAAAAAAGTATGACTATTCAAATGCACCTCGTACATTGTAATATTTTCTCCATTGAGAGTTTGAGCAGTCCTCAAATATAGGGGGACGATAGCTGACCCTTGAAAGACCTAACGAGAAAATACCGGGTGGTCCAAAATAAAGCAAGTGAAATTTGATTTCCTTTTCCATTCATTTCAGGTGATCATAACTGAACCGAAGTGCCTCAGTATTCAATGCAGGAGCGAGTATGGATAATAGAGCACCATTTCCGTAGTTATGGTGCTGGAGCCGTATTCTATTATGTTCTTAAGTGCTATTTTCCTCTTAGCAAGGTGCTTAGCTGGTATTTTCCCCATTCAAATGCATGGCCGAGATTGAGCGATTTGCTTTAACTAAGTTTAAGATTTTAATTGAATACGGCCCCTGGTCTCTAACCATACGAAAAACACTCCCACGAGAAATTAGCAGTTCCTTGGACAGCGTATGCTTTCACGTGGCGATCGCAGCTCCTTATCCAGAACTCTCCCAGCGTTCTCATTGGTACGGAGAGTGCAGTTTCGACCTGATTTGCTTGCATCCTGAATGTACACCGGTCCAGTTTCACAAAATTTGTTAACAATGGACAGGATCGTTTCATTTGGTGGAACATCTTTTTTGAAACGTTCCTGATGACCTCCTTTCACAATTTCCAAATATGATCTATCACTTCGACCAGCAACATAATTACAGAAATAGTGCTCTGCTATCCATATTCGCTCCTGCACAGAATAATGAGGCATTTTGGTTCAGTTATAATCACCTGAAATGAAAATCGAATCAAATTTCACTTAACTTTTTTTCTGGACCTCCCTGTATATCCTACAACCAATATCGCAGACAAACGAGTTTTTACGATGATTTTTCTATGCTTGATGATTTTTCCGAAGAATGACGCATACAATGACGCAATGGGAACAACTTTATTTCAGCTCACTTCAACTTATTGAACCAGAATCGAAGATACCTCGGTATTTTTTAGGCGGTGAACTGTTCAAGGGGGAAATTTCTTCAGTCCGACTTCGCCCGACTCGTTTTTTATTTGAGGATGATGAGCAGCGGGTGCAATCAATATTTTTAAATACTACGTATTAAGGTGAAACCGAATAAGGCAATAACGGACAGAGCTTCCTTGATGGAAACGGAAAAAAAAATTTAGTGGCATTCTTGGAGAGAATATGGGATGTTAGTTTACCACGTAAACCACTGCCGTCTCCAAATGAATGGAAGAATAAGACGAAAGATAATGGAAGCTTGTGTGAAGTTCTTCCGGTGAGAACATGTTTTTGTCGGCGAATGAAAAATCCACGAAACGAGACCAAAGTGGATTGCACTCGATCCCCATGAGCCCTTGTCGTGGACTTCCTTGACCCAGTTTGTGAAGAGCTGTGGGTCACTGTGCCATGCCGTGTCCCCCTCGCGACAAGGCACTCGAGATCCCATTTGAGGGGAATTCGCGAGATGTTGTCAAGGGTGACAGAAGCTGAGTTTCCGGACAATGGTAGATTCCAAAGCCGCAATTCAGTTACAGTTCAACTATCGTCCTATTATTGCTATAGTTTGGTTGCAGTTGCAGTCGACTGGAACTACGGCTAGACCTTGAACGGACTGAGATTTTGAAATCATTCTCCAGTTCCGGTTTAACAGCAATTTGACCATAGTAAGACTGCAGTTGCCAGTCGCTTCAGTTACTTTTCTGTTCAACTACAGAGTGTGGTCCAACAATTACTGACGCTTTTCATCAAAACGAATTGAAACGGTGAGACGTCAATCACAGATCTATGTACGGCGGTACTTCTACAAAATGTTTTCAATCCTAAACTTTATGAATTTTCCCTCTC